CCTCTAATATTGCAGGCTTAAATTATCATTACTAATTTATAAAATTCTTAGAACTTATCAATCGTTAGGGTTGTAGGATATCAAATTATTATCTCGAAACCAGTTTAAATTTAGTATGATTTTTATAATTTGAATTTTTATTTTCCTATTAAGATATGAAGATAATTGTTATAATATTTATATGCTACTGTTATACCCTTCTCTAAAGATTACGTCCTGGTTCTATAAAAAACTTTTGTTGTAAAAACGAATGATATATCTCTACCAAAAGAAAAGGTTTCAGACTCAAGACAGGTTGGAATTTTAGTATAGAACTTGAATGAATAGTTATTAATGTGTGATAGCGGTTTTGTCCGAATATTACGTATTAAGGTTAAAGGTAATATAATATAGCTCCATAAATTTCCCTTGGTTTTGCCGATAGTTTATGACGCATCTCCCCAGTTTTTCCCTATGTTCAATTATGATTCATAGGTTCATGAACATAAATCTTTACTAACATAGATTTTGAGCTCAAATTGTTGCTAACACAATTTCAATAAATCTGAATGTATAAAATCTGTAATAAATGTTTTATTGTTATCTACTTTAAAATTTCGAGGAAATAAAATGGAATTAAGAAGCAAAAAAGATAAATGGGCATGAGATGTATTACAATGGCATCCAAGAGAAGAAAAAAGGAAGAAGTCAGCCGAAGAGATGGAGAGGGCTAGCCAGATGAACAGAATGGGCTAAAATAGTAGGCTTATGTCAGAAGACGACCTGACACTAAAACTGGTTGCAAAAAAATAATATTATTTTTTTATCTTGCCCATGCCCATTTAGAACAAGACAATAAATGCTTTATTTATAACTTTAAAAGTATATCAAGTAAAATGTCGCTTATTTGGCTTAGGATATATACAATGTCCCTAATTATAAATAAAACGAAATTAGGTGTCCTTTTTATTTTTAAGTGTAGTTTAAATATAACTTTACTTAATTTTAGTATAGTTATATGCTATGTAATTTTTTCACTTCTTGAGCTCACCTTATTTAATTTGATTTATATTAAAAGGTTGCCTGGAAGGTATCGCTTGGAATGGATGGGACCGGCCGTAACCCATTATTTATATGTTATAATTTGCACTGATTTTTGTCTTACATAAAATATACTACATGTAAAATAACAATGTATAGAAAATCGTTGTACGTATTTTTAAATAGCTTCAATTGATTATTGTTTTTTTATAAATAAAGATAACCAAGCCTTACACAATTTATCTGCTTTGGCTGTATACAATACCCGTAAATACTTATTATTGAAACCGTACATAAATGGATACTTATGGCACTTGAATATAAAAACTTGTCTCATTACGATCGCCTTCTATTCAATTCTACAACTAATATTATCATACGATACACTTGTTGAATCCCGATTAGATGTGGCGCCAGCAAGTTACTAATAGTAAAATCAATAGATATCGAAATGAGTCTTAAATTTTTTAATACAACTTATGTATTTCTTTGAAGTATTCACAATAGTTTAGGTTCATTCTATCATGGTATTAAATTTGCACCAACATAGGCGTGAGAAAACAGCTCCTTTAGCACGAAGTCGTAAAATTCAAATAGTTACCAACAATATATTTTATAATAGAAAATACATTTATTAAAACACAAAACAAGAAAATATTTAAAGGATTCATCACACGTCAACTATTTCACAATAAAACGAGTAGGTAATAAGGTATACAAGTTAAAAACGGATAAAGACCTATCGTTATCTTCCTCCGTTCCTTTAGAGAAAGAAGATATATAATCTTACTTAAATATGTATATGTAGCTGTGCTTAAATGTAGACCAATCAACAGTTGGTATGGTACTTTAAGTCGCCTTAGTTTTTGCCATCATTTCAACTACCTAGAAATATAGGTACATGTTATTCAATATTTCTTATGAAAATCGTAACAAAGTTAATAAGATTTTGATTCTATTAATAAAGGTAACCTTTGAAGACATTCATCATATTAATATATTTATTAATTAAATTTGTCTGCATTTTAACCCAAGACCAATTCCAGGAAGGTTTATTTGATCGACCGATACGTATAATATACACCAAATGCGCATACACAACTTAAATACAAAAGAATAAAAGGATGTTACATTCTGATGTCGTTTTTGTCTTTTAGAGGACACGATTTCGGGAATGCTCTTTTGTAAACGAAACTCTATGGTTCGATTCAAAGATACAATATTTGAAGATCTGTAGTTGAATTGAAGTTCAAACAATAAGTTTTTGGGGAATAAATACTTTTTTTTGCAAAAGTGTGTGAAGTACTAAATAAAAGTTGTAAAATAATGAACCTATTAATTCTACTATTAATACCTTTAAGTATCCTGAAGTTTGAAAGAAAACAAAAGATTATTTTTTCGCCTTGGAAGTAAAATATAATGACAGTAAGGCCATTGGGCTAGGGAACTAGAAATCTCAATAAAAAATATTATAACTAACTAAACATTCAGTTGCGACGTAGATACACACATCTAGGGGCAAACTTTCAAATCTTGTATGAATACTACTTGCAGCATCACGATCACTTTCGGTATTTCGTTGAACAATCTGACATTTAGATATTTCATCTCGTTCAAGAGTATGTAACTGGAGAGACAAGAATTGTATCTACGTAATTTGCAACTAGTTTTCCTAATACACAAATGTACCAGCAAATACTAATTAACATTTCGTTTTAATAACAATAAATAATTATAATACCTATAAACAACTTTTAAAATACCTATTAATAACTAACAATTAATAATAACTATTTCGCGTGCGATTGTAGATTGTACGTTCGAATCCACACAAGTTTATTCTTCCTACCAGGTGTTGTAAAATTCTTATTTTGTTTACTATTCTTTAAAAGTCAAGAAATTGATAGCCTGTTCAGCAGACCGTTATAAAGTTCAGTATCTTCAAGCGGTGACATCACGACTGGCGCCGATCCGCACCAATTGTCCACAATTATTGTCTCGTGCCTTGTCTAAATAAATACGCCTATGATTATATTATAATGGAAATATAAATAAATACGTTATGTATTAATTTTTTTTAATTCTGTACATATAAGTTATTATAATTATTGGGATTAGTCAAAAAAACTAGTTTTAATATCAACTTTTTGTCTGTTTTTAACAACTTGTAATCATTATCAACTTGTTTGAATTTAAATTTGTAAAAATACATGGTTGATTCGAAAAACTGTGAAACAGCACGTACCTGCTTCCTTAATAACTATTAAAGTTTACTAATATAAATTGTTGGTTAGTTTCTTCTTTACATCTGAGAGATTGGTATATGATTTTTTTCAGGAGTATTTATACAAAAATTGTGAAAATTTCACTTGGATGTCGGTTTTCAATTACCCATAAATATGTTTAGTCCCTTTTTGAGCGCTGCTTCACAGTCCTGTAGGATTAACATATACATAGGCATTTTGACCGCAGTACTTACACCATAATACAAATACTTTTCATTTGTTGTATACAATTATATTACCTCAATATAGTCTCAAATCAAAAGCAACGAACAAAACATCTGGCAAAGGGCATCGTTCTCATCAGACAAGGCATTTGCATCAATTAGAACTCTTTCAGTCAAATGCAAGGAAATCTGATATACAATTTATGGTCCCATCTAAGTGACCACTCGTCCCTTAATTGGGTAGAGACAGATGACGCAGGAATTCATTACAAAAGCCCATCCTGTGTAAAAATGTAATTGTTTGCCGTCTCTCGTATACTATATTAAACAAAACGGGCTACGTTTTTAATATTGAAATTGCGTCCGTTTGAACATATTTACAACGCCGACCCTCGTAGACTTAAATTCGTAGACAAACCTACACAGTGACCTGGTTTGACTGAGACATTGTAAAATTGTATAATAATAATATTCTCAGTCCTCGGATACAAAGATCGAATAATTTTAGATTATACTACCCATCATTTTACCTATAGTAGTTTTCTGGTATTATTCAGTGTTGTTTTTGACATAAACCTTATAAAATGCTTATCCAACATGACATGTTCAGCGAACAGAAATTTTAAATAACTTGAATTAAAATGTATGACAATTTCTTTTACTCTAATAGCACGCAAACGTTTAAGAAATCATCCCAAAATCGTGCAAGGAATACTTAATGTAGGTGTCATAAGACTAAACCCTACTGGGGTGTCTCCCCCATTATCTAGTAGTATATAGTTTTATAATGTTTTTATATAATCAATCTAGGGAGGAAATAATTACGTGTCTTCCTTCAGTTTTTAATACTGATAACGAGACTAGGTCGGGTGTAAAAGTGGTAATGTTAGTACAACATTAAAGTTAAAGAGTTTTGTGTATTCGTAGTAATATTTATAAACTGGCTAGGAGCCAGAAACGTGTTACTAATTCAAAAGATAAGAGCATTTGGTAGGCATATCTGAGACGTATGTAGTTTCCGGTCGGGAGTTACTTACACGTTTTGAAGGTTTTTCAATTTTTCTTATGAAATCAATTTAATTTAACAGAACTACAATAACCTTGGATTTTTATTAAATGACTATAGAAGCTATTGTTATTATTTTCTTGTGCAAAGAATTTTGAATGAAATAATAAATACTTTTAGGCTATTACACGAGTGAGAATCTGAAAAGAAAAACAAAATAATGTTGCTATTCGTTTGATATTATAATCAAACCAGAAATGACTGAAATTTCATGTTTCGTCGTTTGTTTTCAATCTGTATGTTGTTTCATTTTATTTCATATTTTGGACGGGAATTTGCTTGTGCTAAACACTAGGTAGGTATATGGACTTTGTAATTCTTAATACTTACTTTTTTATGACCTGAATTCGACGCGTTAAACAGATATGTTTAAATTGGCTAATCCTAAGGAAGTTGCTGGTAAATCGGTCACTACACATCCGTTGTAACGGTCATAAAAAAATAGAAAACATTAATGTGCCCGACATGATTACTGCCCAGTATGCAGTATGTCGAAATGTATGCTTCACGAATACTTCTGGTCCGTATACGTAAACTTTAACCTAAAGGAGTACCTATTACTAAAATCAAATGGAGCCTATATTACAAAGGGAATCTAGTCTTAAACGTACATACATTCTGTCAGATTATTCCATCACTTCCCACATGGTAGGGCTATGGCATATGTGACTTTCTATCAATACAATATCTATTTCTATTTCTAATATATATTAATGTTTTGGACCAATCTAGCATACAATTGTTACGCCTAATAGATTCAGAGGAGCAAAAACGTCATGGAACACCACAAATCTTTTCCAATCAAGTGGTGCTATTTCGTTTTATAAGTTAGTCGTACCTATAAGTTTCCTTACGTTCTTGAATAAGTTAACCTAAAATACCGATATCACCATAATAGGGGTTCAATGATGTATGATGCACAATAAATAACCTGTTTTCAAGTACTGTTCTGTCATTTAGCTTCTCGCCACCAACTCCACTCCCAGCCTACCCGTGATGAACCCTGTTACGTCGAGTAATCTATTATCGAGATTCCGGCAACCAACCCCTTTGGAGATGTAGGTTCATTCAGAGCACACCGTCTCAACCTGCACAAGCTACGAGTTACAACAAGCACAAGAGCGAGTTTTGGTAGATACTCTTAGGGGGTTTCCCGGTTGGAGAGAGATCATCTGAGGGCAGACTTAAATTCGAAGGTTGGATCGACAAGACAGGATGAACATTTATGAGAGGTTGTTGGTATGGACTAGGTAAAAGAAATGAGAGAGGTGAGATATGGCTGCAATGTTGTGCTAAAACTCCCTGACTCTCATGAATACATTTTTCCCGAACCATCTACGTCGCCTGTATACTTGGTTGATCTCAGATGACCGGGATAGGAACCGGATAGATTATATTGCGATAGCAAGTCTATGGAGATCCAGTATAAGTAATATAAAGAAATATCACGAAGCTGACTGCGCAAGCGATCATACATAACTAGTGGCCAAGATAGGGATTAAGCTGAACAGTGTGCCTCACACTGCATGCTGTTAATAGTCTCAGACGAACTACTCCATAAACTATCCATGGAGGAAGTTTTTAATAACAAAGTCTCGAACCTTGACAACAATGCATACGCGGATACAAATTGTAACATCCAACAGCAAAACTGTAGTAGCGCAAAAAAGATGTGAATATCGGAAGAAACATGGAAAGTAATTGAGGAAAGGAAAGAGGTTCTGACCAAAAGGGAGAATCTATATGTCCTTACATATCCTTATATTGAGGAACAATCCCAGACTTTACATACCAAAGATTTGTTCCTACAAGTTCAAAGCATTATTAGGGAATTTAGACCAAAAAGCTGGGTGATAAGGGATGACCAGGGCGAACTTCTAACCGAGATTGACCAGGTAACTGCTTGATGACGATTGTACTGTCAAAACTTATACAAAGACACTAGAACAACTTACGAGTCACTGACGCCTAGTAAACCTTGTGCCTGCTATATTGGAATCTGAGATTAGGGAAGCTCTGAGAAAAATTTATGTAAGCCGGAATGTGACACTATATTCGCTGAAGAACTCAAAAACCTCAAAAACAGTTGTCGAAATCATGAAAGACTTAATTAGATTTGGGTATCGCGCAATGGGCCAAATGACTGATCAGAATCTGTGCTAATACACAAGAAAGGCTTGACAAAGAAGTGCGAAAGTTATCGAACAGTAGCTCTTAAATCGCACGGTAGTCTCCACATAGTTCTCGAACGCTAACAAAAATTTATAATTTTTTAATTAAATATTTGCAGCGACAACCCAACGAGCAGGCAGTTTTGTCAAAGGTCGGAGGACGCGGGAACCAATTAGGAGCACCCTTCTTGGCTACTTTAGCTATATTTCCAGGGGAGAACCGAATAGTCTAAATTAATTGGTACGGAGGAGTGATGGCAGGAGAAGTCAGGGTCGACCGCCTATCCGTTGGTCTGACCAAACTAAGACAATAATTATGGGTCTCAAGCCTCAACATTCCAAATGCCATAAGACAAGCTGAGGATAGAGTGGTGTGAAGGCAGCAAGTCGGACTTTCAAGAAAGGCATGACCTTTAGCCTGAAAACTACGAAGAAGAAGATCACCATAGTAATTTACGCAGTCGATTTACAAAATTAAATCAGTTTAAATGATCATGATTATTATTTATATGAATAAGAGAATAATATTGAGTGGCACCTTAAATAACTATTTTAATATATAATAAATATTCGTTTTCAGTCTTTAGACCATACCGCCTATGATTTTTTTAGATTATAGAAACTTTCGCAATCTCGTAGGCACATTGCTCATGGGCCCTAAATGAAGGAATTTGGCGTCAACAAATTTGGTAATGTAAAACATGCTTTATCGTCTGTGGTGGTCTAACGTCAAACTACCAGGTACAAGTCTCTAGTCTATTGTATTAAAGGGAAAACCAAAGGGAAATATATATAGTCTCACAAGTCTATCTATGGTTTTTGTTTTGTGAAATATTATTGGCTTATATAATGAAATGTACAATTTTGATTGGCTAGCGAAAATAACCTACACTAAGGGAACCAATAGTCAATAATTGTACCCATAGGTCAGAGACAAAATAGAAAAAAAACTTTAGACTATGCTACGTGCTAACATGGCGAAAATTCTTGATCATCAACATCACCAAAAGTAGGAAATCGTGAACAGTTTGTTATGGGATTTTCCTCAGCTTTAGCAACTTTCATCCTTTTCGAAAAAATTATTTCCTACGTTTATCTTAATTACTTTTAAACAAAATGAGCGTGGATGCGTATGGACCAAGCTCTCAAACGCTCACGTTTTTGGATACCGAAGAAACGGATCTTATTGGGGCTGATACTCAAGGGTCTGAATTCGAGTTCACAGATTTTACTTTACCATCCCAAAGTCAAACGCAGGCATCTCAACATGACCATGGCCTGCCCTCTGCCAATCAGGTAAAGTTTTTTCTATTTACATAACCTAATTAGATCTTGTGTAATCCCTTTTAAAAACTAAACGGTTTGTGGTTAAATTTTAGGTTAATGGCTTGGGGAGATCGGACATTAATTCAAAATTGGCAAGTGTAACCAATGCAATTGCTGAATTGCAATTTGAGGAAGATGATGAAGCTCTGTATAGTAGCAAGGAATTGCCTGATCATGCTTGCAAATACTGTGGCATACATGACCCATCTACTGTGGTCATGTGCAACATTTGCAACAAATGGTGAGTTCAAATAAATACACAAGTCTGAGTCAAGATGATTCATCCATTACATGTTTACAACAAAAGTTAGTATTTTGTGACAATTGTGCAATAACAGTAATCCTAGTTAATTGAGATAGTTAACCTATTGACTTGTTAAATACCTCAGTAGGTAAAAGATTTAAGATTTAATAAGAAGAAATAATTTTTTTTCTATATCTTGGTGTGTAATAATTGGTAAACTTATCTAACCAAATCTATAATTATTGTAAATACAAAGTATATACAACAAACATAACATTAATTAAACTACTAGGTTTTGCAATGGCCGTGGAAATACATCTGGATCCCACATAATTAATCATTTGGTGAGAGCTAAGCATAAGGAAGCAGCATTGCACCGTGATGGACCTCTTGGAGAAACCCTACTTGAGTGTTACTCTTGTGGAGCACGGAATGTCTTTGTTTTAGGATTTATCCCTGCTAAAGCTGATTCAGTTGTTGTTTTGCTATGCAGGTAAGGATGGAAACTGTGTAATAATTGGAGTAAATTAATAAGGTCAAATAGCAAATTTATATTATAGTAATTTTTAAAGAAAACATGTGTTAACTTATCATAATCCTATCAGATAATAATTTGATATAGCTGTTGTTACAACAAATACACCTATTGTTATTATTTTATATATATAAATAAACAATTTTAAAGCTTTCATTTACATAAGTGACATACACTTGATGAAAAAAATATTTTATGGATTAAATCTAATTGACACAATTAAAAAAAATATTTTGTATTATAAATATTAAGTATTTTACAGGCAACCATGTGCCGCTCAAAGCTCCTTGAAAGATATGAACTGGGATCAAGAACAGTGGAAGCCTTTGATTTGTAAGTACATTCAACCAATAATAAATTATATGAAGTAATCAGTTACTTAATAATTCATAATTAAATAGTTATCTGCTATCTCTGATATGTGCTAAGTTTTTTTAATAAATGAAGCTTAGTTGGTTGTCCAATAATTGTCTATTAAATATTTTTCCTTTAGTTATTAGTTAAGTTATATTTATTTATTGTATCTAAAATATTTGTGAGTAAGAGGAGAAAGTAAAGGATTGAGAGATAGATAAAACAATGTAAACCATGTGAAATGTTTTGTGTAACAGTTACAATGATAATAGTTTATCCTTAGAAATTTGAATTAGGTCAAATATTGATGTTTTATAAGATAAAACCTTAATATATATTTATTACATTACAGCGGATCGAGCATTTCTATCATGGCTAGTCAAGGTACCGTCTGAAGCTGAACAGATGAGGGCACGTCAGGTAGATTATCTTTTTATCTGTATGACAATAATATATTTTTTTCAAAATTGCATTCATTTAAACAAACATTTCTATGTATAAGTGACTTAATATAATATTTTATCTTTTGGCAATAAAATTTCTGAAATAAAAAAGGTTATACCATTATGATTGCTACTTTAAGATTTAAACCATCAAATAGAAATAAAAACTTTAACGACTTTTCTTTTTAAGGTAACACCTCAACAAATAGGGCGCTTAGAAGAACTTTGGCGCGACAATGTGGATGCAACATTCCAGGACTTGGAGAAACCTGGTGTAGATGAGGAGCCTCATCAAGTTTTGTTAAGGTATATTTTCTTTATGTTTTTCTTGTTGTTTACAATTAAGAATTTTGATATTTTTGGTCTGTTTGGAGTTGTTCTAATGTATGTATGTTTACTTTTTACATAATCTAATTTAATTTTTAATTTTCATTGTTAGATATGAAGATGGCTACCAATACCAAAACATTTTTGGCCCATTGGTTAAACTTGAGGCGGATTACGACAAGCGGCTCAAGGAATCACAGACCCAAGAAGGTATTGAAGTCCGCTGGGATGTGGGACTTAATAAAAAGACCATTGCCTACTTCACTCTGGCAAAAACTGACAGTGACATGAAACTTATGCATGGAGATGAGTTAAGATTGAGGTAATTTATGCTATTGCTGCTTTCATAAATCATTGAAACTGCCTTCACAATACACAGATCTCAGTGGAGAAATATTAGCAAAAAAATAAATAATTATCAATCATTACCCTTCAAATGCCTGTCCTAGGATAAATGTAATAAATGCCCAGTTAGCGCTTTTTGTTTGTTTGTTGTAATATTTATATAGAGTTGACTCTTGTCCTGTGGTTATAGATATGTAGGCGAGTTGCACAAGGCGTGGTCCGGCGTGGGTCACGTGATCAAGGTGCCCGATAACTACGGCGATGACGTCGGTCTAGAACTAAAGAGCGGCGCCGGCGCACCACTGGATTGCACTTCCAACTTTGTCGTAGACTTCATTTGGAAGAGTACTTCTTTTGATCGGTAAACATGTTTACATAGTTAGTTTTTGTATTTAATCGCAAAATAATTTTTTTAATGTTTACAAATTACGACATTTAGAATTTGGATGTGACTTACTGCGATATTGTTTTCATACCTTAATTATAATATACTATAATTAGCCAAATCTAATAATAATAACACATATATATTTAAATTTTTAATGTTTACATTTAATACTTACATTACAATACTATTATTATTCATATTTTTTACATTACATTATAAAATGTAAAAAAAACATTCTATGCAGTGACTATTGACTGTTACTGCTACTAATTGACATATAAACACGTTTCCAGTGTTACCATAGGTATAGCATGCTAATTAAAATAAAATTTAAAATCTTTGAAACATACTTTCCTTGTCTAGACACAATATCTATAAATATTGTGAAACATATTATAATACCCATGAGACTATTATTAATGTTAATACATTTTCTTATAGAATGCAACTAGCACTGCGGAAATTTGCGGTCGACGAGTCATCGGTCTCGGGATACATCTACCGACGACTTTTGGGACATGAGGTGGAAGAAGTATTGTTCCGAGTGCATCTGCCTAAACACTTCAGCGCGCCCAACTTGCCTGATCTTAACCGATCTCAGGTAAAGATATACAATAATTGATTAATGCGTAAAAAGAGAACTGACATTGTTATGTCATTTATCCAAAATAGTTATATAATTTTTTTTTATTTTTCATATTAACTACCAAGATGATTACTGTCGAACTATAATGAAGTAACAGTGTGGTCACTGGCCAGGCTCCACAGGGGAGCAATTTGATTCGAAAATTAATTAAAATTATTTGGAATCAGAATTTCAGATTTTCTTTTTATGTTTTACTTAATGTGTATCGTTAACAATTTCCTAGTAATTTAAAAAAAAATACGTTTGTTTATTTCACTTATAGAATATTCCTTTTATTTATTTGCTTATGCCATACATAAATAATTAGTTGATAATTCTTATTTCAGGTATATGCTGTTAAGCACGCCCTGCAACGTCCACTTTCCTTGATCCAAGGTCCACCTGGAACTGGAAAAACTGTGACTTCAGCCACTATTGTTTATCAACTTGTGAGGCAGAACGGTGGTCCGGTACTTGTCTGCGCACCTTCCAACACTGCGGTAGACCAACTCACTGAGAAAATTCATAGAACTGGACTCAAAGTAGTTAGGCTCTGCGCAAAGTCCCGTGAAGCTATGGAGTCGTCCGTCTCTTTTCTGGCCCTACACGAACAGGCAAGAGTTTTAGGGTCAGCTGATAGTGAGCTCCGCAAACTTACAAGATTGAAGGAGGAAGCTGGTGAATTATCCGCAGCTGATGAACGCAGATACCGTGCCTTACGTCGGGCCGCAGAAAGAAGACTCTTGGATGCTGCTGACGTTGTCTGCACCACTTGCGTCGGAGCTGGAGATCCTAGGGTGGCGAGAATGCGCTTCCAGTCCATTCTTATTGATGAAGGCATGCAGTCCACTGAGCCGGAGTGTATGGTACCAGTTGTGCTCGGAGCTAGACAGCTGATCCTCGTCGGAGATCATTGCCAGTTAGGCCCAGTCGTGATGTGCAAGAAAGCGGCCAAGGCAGGACTTAGCCAGAGCTTGTTCGAGCGTCTTGTCGTACTCGGCATCAGGCCATTCCGCCTCGAAGTTCAATACCGTATGCACCCGGAACTATCGCGTTTCCCGTCAGATTTCTTCTATGAAGGTTCCCTGCAAAATGGAGTAAGCGCTGAAGAAAGACGCCTGCACAAAATTGACTTCCCGTGGCCGAGACCAGATCGACCCATGTTCTTTTATGTGACTCAAGGACAAGAAGAAATCGCCGGGTCGGGAACATCTTATCTGAATCGTACCGAGGCCGCTAATGTTGAGAAACTTACAACTCGCTTTTTGAAGGCTGGTGTGAGACCAGAACAGATCGGTATCATCACGCCATACGAGGGACAAAGATCTTACCTAGTACAGCACATGCAGTACCAAGGAAGCTTACACGCGAAGCTTTATCAAGAGATTGAAGTGGCAAGCGTGGACGCATTCCAAGGCCGAGAGAAGGACATCATTATAATGTCGTGCGTCCGTTCCAATGAACATCAGGGAATTGGATTTTTAAGCGATCCGCGCCGTTTAAACGTTGCCTTGACCCGAGCCAAGTACGGTTTGATTGTTGTCGGCAATCCTAAAGTATTAAGCAAGCAGCCACTATGGAATCATCTCCTGGCATTTTACAAAGAACGTCGCGTGCTAACCGAAGGACCGCTGTCGAACCTAAAAGAGTCCGCAATACAGTTCGCCAAGCCGAAAAAACTAGTGAACGCTCAGAATCCCGGGTCGCACTTTATGTCGACGTCCATGTTTGACGCCCGCGAGGCTATGGTCCCGGGGTCTATCTACGACAGAGCGAGACCATTGAGAGATCCGTTAGCGTACGTCGGCCCAGAGCGGGCGGCGATGTTACACGCGCCCGTGCCGCCGGCCGCTTTCTCCGCCCATCGAGGTCTCCAACGCCCGCCGATGAACATGAACCAACGAAGCAGGAAGCGTCCGCCCCGATTATCGCAGGAGCCGTTGTCCCAGCAAGCGCCGCTGTCGCTGTCCCAGGGAGCGTCCCAGCCGGACTTCAGTCAGGAATCCCTCGCGCCGGACTGTCCGTCCCAACCGGACGGCCTCCTGTCCCAGGACTCCACATACCAGGGCGGGTTCCGCGCGCGAAGCCAGTACTGATAGCAGCCGGACGCCGCGGCACCGACCGACAAGCTCCCGACGGGACACGGCACCGACAGACGCCGACGCGATCACCGACGAGACACGGACGAGTGGATGTATCTGCGCAGTGGACCTCACTAAGGCCTAGGACCTTCCGACCGGTGACTCGAGAGGGCGCTATCGGTCGGCACGGTGAGGGCTGCGAGGTCAAGGTGATGTCAGACAGCGGCGGTGACCGCCGGCGGGTTCCTCGCAGACCTGAGTAACGCTCCTTCGAAATTGTGTCACGGCATCCACGCGTAGTGCATCACAGTACATCTGTGCCGGGTTTACATTTCACACAGGGATAGAATGTACCGATTCGAACCCATTTTCAATATCGTGCGTCGATTTCGCAACCATCGAGCACAAAACGCTTCGATCGAAGCGATCGTGTACCACAGATCTTTCGGTACGAGAAACATTCATTCACCCTTCAGTAGTGTTTCATTTTTTTACACAAACTCAATTAGCCGGTTAGCATTTAAGGGCATGTGGTTTACGTTTCGTTGCTATCGTCCTCATATAAATTATTGACGCGACGTTTATGAATTGTTAAGTCAAATCTATTAGACAATATATCAGCAATAATATCATTGTTTTTCCTTCTACAATATGTTGTAAACATATTTATATTACATTGAATACAGGATTTTACTTTAACATTACATCTCACTATTATTTATTTTTCTTATTTTAATTTTATGTATTTAGGTCTTTGAGGATTATTCTGATTGTTTTAAAAACTAAAACGATTTACTATTTCAAAATAATAATTATATGAGATATAATTAAAAACATTCCTCATTATTTTACTTGGCTCTTGTATGTATATGTAATAAACATGCAATGAAACATTGAATCGACAAATCTCTTTTATTGTTTGTACAAAATTATCTTTCTCTTATTATTTATTATGAAATTTCGTTTATATTGTGAGGGAAAATCAATAAAGATTCTATCAGCATAAGAAATCTTTTTTTTGTAACACTTGACTAATATCAATATATTTACTGATCAAGCTAAAATAACGACCTTTAGAACAAAAAAATAATATCTAGGTATTATGATACGGGCGGCATAGTGACACCGTCATCCATTGACACTTAATGTCAGAGGAATCACGAATGGGTTGCCGGCTTTTTAAAGACCATTTCAAGAAATACTCTTACCCACCACCGAGACAAATATAGCCTAGACGTTCGATAATTGAACTCTATATTAAACTGAACAATTTGTTATGCGGTATTAAAACTTAATTCCACCGACATTTACACCAAAGGATCCAACAAACGTGATAACATTTACGCTAATTTATGAACACCACATGAATTCACCGGTTTTCTCTTGGTTTGTAAATAAAATACTCAATGATGTAGTTACATTTATAAAATATATAAAAAGTACATTAATAAAGACAATGTATTGAATTAAATATAATTCACAGACAGATTGTGTTTTCTACAGAGGTATTTGAAATCGTTTGGGTTATTCATTGAACCATTTAAGACTTGAATCTCCATAAATAATATAATTGCATTGCCATAATATAACTTGTTCCTTAGTAAATAAATATGACTATTTTTTTTATATTACTTTCATATACCCCCCCCCCCCCCCCGTACCACGGGGCTTATTAAATAATTATTTTGCGAGTAAAAACTGTAGTTAGCCTACACACAACATTTTGATAGCATTTTTTTAGAATGGGGCTAACGGGCAGGACGCTCAACTGATGTGATACCGCCGCCCATGGACACTGTAAATGCCAGAGGGCGCGTGAGTGCCTTACCGGCCTTTTAAGAATTGGTACGCTTTTTTCTTGAAGGACCCTACGTGGAATTGGTTCGGAAATACTTCAGTGGTCTTCAGTCAAAACTTCGGTTATTTTTAATTACTGTGGTAATGGAGAGATTTAAACTGAGGCGTAGGATGTTGGGGGGTAGCCATATCTTTGTTCTTGGCGGCCTGTGTTTAACTTGCGATCAGAAATTCCCCGAATACTGGGGCAGTTGAAATTTTATAATATAATAATACATTCTATAATATAATCCATATTTAATAATATTTAGTCTCTCGGTGACCAAAATTGCGGAAAAGCACTCAAAACGTCGAGTTATGTGAATAATGTAATGCGCTCTTATATCTATATTTTTATTGGTGTGTGTAGTATTCGCTTAAGCCGCTGTAATTACTGTAGCTGTACTTAGAAAGGGCGGTATGGTCGTAAATGATGTCATTATATAAAAAGAAAATGAAACAGACGAAACAATGTGTCTAACAATGGTGCACACGATTCACGAAATAATTAGTCAAATAACGAGAAGTGGGAAAAAGCCAGAGATAGCTGATAGACATTGTCATCTCTATCCATAAACGTGAATACGGCGATCAATATAGAATATATATTTCAATTTACTACAATTAGTAAATCGTTTTAATTGTTCATTTAACTGTAGTAAAACGTGAACTTAAGCCAAGGGATTTAAAAAAATTGATTTATTTAAGTTATTGCAAGCTTAACATCAAAGTTATAATTTTTGCTTTTCTACGGATATTTTTATCAAAATTGCACCGACATCTAAAAATTCGCCCGCCCGTTGCCTAATAACGTATGTAACCTGCTTTTTTATATGTATGTTTTTGTATAAGGTAACGAAGTGAAAATATAAAACAAAATTTGACTAATAGGATCCTCGTACCACGTATTCAATTAAATTAATTATTCCTTAAAACATTTAATTCTCTCTGTAATACCAATCAATTAAAAAAAATGATTGTCATTTAATACATAATAATGCATTTTGGAGTCGTTTCTATTTTTAGAATCTAATTATTATCTATAAAACTAAATTCATTCAACCTTTCGTTTTCATGGATTGTTCTTTTTGCACAGTTGTTTTAAATAATCACTATTTCGAAATAATATACATTTATGAAACAATTAAAGGCTTTCTAACTTTATTGTTTTGTTTTTCATGTCAACAAGCTGGTACCTAATTGCGATAAAACAATAATTGTTCATTGATATACAGAAGAAATAGGGACCAGACACAGCACAACCCAGCCATTCACAGGTTTCTGATCAGTTACTTAAAATAAAACACTCAATTAGGCAGTTACATTTTTATAGAACATATCAAAATGTGTAAAAAAAACATTATAAAGACAATACATTCAATAAAATATAATTCATATAACAGTAATAATTTATTAAGAATAAAATCTAGACTTTAAAAAGGCCTATATGGTTGCAAAATATATCTATCAAATGCATTCCAAGTGGGACCAAAATTCAGGGCAGTGAGAATGAAAGCAAATATTTTCTCTAGTTTAATCACAGACAAATAATAAGTTTCACGACGCATGTGTTTTGTCTCCCTTTTTAGTTTATTACTTCCACAGGAAAGAGAATGTAAGAAAAAAACACGATCGTGCGCATTGTTCGATTGTGATTGGTCAGTTGGTCAACCGCAGTCTATTACGCGTTGACACACGACATTATACATCATTTGACGTCCGTTAGACAAATCACGAACAATAACGTCTCGAGTCTATCGGTAAGCACGCCCTGAGTTTTTTAATGCAACCACTTAATCCTTTACAGTCTCAATTAATAAATTATATATAAATGCTTAGCCAAAATATAACATTGGTTAGTATGAGAATTCAAATATGGCTCATAACAGCAGATAAGAGATTCATTAGAGAAGCCTTAATAGCACCAAAGCCGACATAAGCCGAGTTAAATCTACAATATTTTCTTTAATACCAATCATAAATATACAATAACAAATAACTAAAAGTACCGCAACAAGAATTGTCTTCAGATTTCTGTATCTCTATCGTGATATTTTTTTCTCTTAATTGGGTGATAGTAAGTGATTAGTTCTGTGCCGGACACACATCGTCGCCTTTTTTTGTTTCCTTCACCATATGAGCGAGTAATAGATAATACTTTTCAGAAATGTGCAGATAATTGTGAAAGTATAAAAAAACATGAATAAACAGTTAATTACTCCGAACTAAATACATAAACTTTAAACTAATGTGTATACAAGTATTCAAACATTTTGGTAGTAAAAAGAATATAAGATAAGTTTTCATCCAAATACTAGCTTTATCTCCGCATACCATTATCAGGTGTTTTACTGTGGTAATGGAGGCGGTTGAACTGCTGCGTACGTAGGGTAATAGGGCGCAAACTTAGCAGGTCCTGTGATAGCCATGTGCTGGGTTTCATCACGGTCCTGTATATTACGTCCGTACGGGGACTCTCTATACACGGGGGCGGCTGAAAATGTATCAAATCGTTTAGTGCGAAGACACCAAATGAAAGCTAAGTATGACTACGTCAAATCCAATATTTCTGACATACGAAAGTCTGGTTACTGTAATAATCTGTGGAAAAGACGAAGAGATATGTCTACTATGACCACATTTTTTGAAAGGTTAGGCGAATAACGAACAAAAGTAAGAAAATCCGTGTCCACACTTTTACACTTGGACGAGCTGTGCCCTAAGCAAAAAAAAAATACATAAGATAGATTCATAATAGAGCAGTAGCAAACATTTTTGTATCGAAAATATAAGAAGCGGAAGTTGAAAAACTGAACGTGAGCATTAATATTATGACCTGTTAAATTTTATGAAAAATCAAGGCGTTCGAGCTATCATTGGCATGGAAATATCGATTAGCGACTCGCGCGCATCTGAGCACTAAAAACAAGTAAGACATGAACTGACTAAATGCAAATTTAGATAAAGGTGTCAATCACTGTACTGACTCAATTGCCCTTGGTTATCGCTCTTGTTTTCAATTTAAAAATGCACGATGACTGTTCTGAAACTACAATTTGTTGAAGCGTCAATTGACATTTCTATATATTATACTTTTCCTGATTAGGGAGCGTTCAAGTATTACGTCACGCAATTTTTGGAGATTATTGACCCCCTCCCCCCGTGAAATGCGCCGTAACGTTTTTCTGTACCCAAGTACAGTACTGTACCAAAATAAAGTAAAACGTTTCGTGACCACCTAGTGACTCTTTATACCTAAAAGTTACCATTATGTGGTGTTAAGTACTGGGAAGTCGAAAATAATATTAACAAAAACGCGTAATTCAATCCCCGCCCCGCAACGTTTTACAAAACGTTTTACCCCCCAAATTCGTCACGTAATACTTGAACGCTCCCTTACGCATTAAGCAACCAAGGTCAAATTAAATATCATGTCATCTATTTCTAATAAATTGTGTGGTAACACATGGAATACGATAAATTTTTATTTTTTTTATTTTTTAATAGACGCCGTCAAAAAAATTATGTAATGGCCGATAAAATCTTTTACAAAACAAAGTAAATGGCAGGTTTGTTCAAAAGTAACACTTACTCAAGGCAGGATACAGCGACTGGTAAGGTGGCTGCACAGGCGCAGATCCCGGAGCAACCCAACCACCGGGACCTTCACCTCCTGGCGCCTGGAATATATTTTAACTTAATAAAAAGAAATAATAACATTGAAAACATAGTTGGAAAGATGAGTTTCACATCCCGGTCATTCAATACATACCAGTCTTATATAATCAACACCAAAAACAAATTAAAAAGTCGGAGAAATACCTTACATCAGGTTCTATTTATTTATTTCATAAACAACGGTTAATGAAACAAGCAAAGGTAAATTAAAGGTGTTTGTACACTTTGTAAGCTTTATTGGCTTTACAATACTTTTTTCATAAAGAACTGAATTAGAGTGCTAATGTGTTTCAAGTTAACAGTCTTTTGCCTAGCAATCCAAAACAGTATTAGTATAAAGAAAAAAAACGGCAGTACCAAGCAGTTTAATATGCATTAGAGACATTTCATTTTCAGTAAAATCAGACAAAAACCATTTACTAATATCAAATGTGTTTTAAGAGTTGATATAACTTACTGAGGGTTGAACAGATTCTCCAGGAGAAACTGGTAAAACAGCTGGTTGATTACCCCCTTCAGAGAGTACTGGCGCAGATGGAGTTGCCCCAACACCCATTAATGGAACTGTTCCAATAGTAATATACTTCTTGTCTTTCAGGTTTATATGCATTCCTGATACAACACATTCCACCTGCATATCAGAATAGTATTAAGCCAGTTAAAGAACAACCTATGTGTGCCTAATAACTATATTCTATAGAAAGTATATTTAACAACTATCCTTTTCAGAAAAAAAACTACAATTTATAGAAATTACAACTGCAAGTTTTACTAGGCAACCTGAGTTTTCTGTAAAATTTCTAATATAAAAAAATTACACATCAAATAACGTTTTGCGGTTTTTAAATCTTAATCTAAGTTTATAATGTATGCCCAGATCTCCTAGGTTTATTGGGATCATAATTTATATTTTGATGCCAATAAATTTTTTAATAAACTGATTTTGAAGTATTTATATTTGTATGTAGCAAGGAAAAAAGTTTCTCAACAGTAATGGGAGGATGAAAAATGGCCTCTGGAAAGGATGAAGATCGACTCAATTATCATATCATTAGCAGAAGAGGATTGGTTTCAAATACTCATATAACGTGTCGCGGTTGAGGGGATTGTTTAGTGCTCCATTTAAATTCATAATAAGCAACGAGTCGTGATGCCCGATCGCAGACGCAAGTCGCGGTCGCGCGTACCAGTCGATAAGACCCTTTTTTAATGCTTTACATAAAATAATAAAAAATTGTGATTTAATTTAGTTTAAACTTGCGTTTTAATTTTTCCTGTTTTTCTATATTTTTGGTCCTCCGTTTTATGTGTTTTACTTCTAATAAAATTTGTATATATGTGTAAAATACCATGATATTTTCTTGTATTTTTAAGTATGCATGTTGTTTTAGAACTTAAAAATAAATAAATAATAATAATAAATAATAAATCTCCCTCAGAGTAAACTACAAAATCATACCTTGACATCATAGTCCAAATCAATAATGCTACAATTGACAAGATTAGAAGGCGGAATGGGAGGAATCTCCATATTCAAGTTCCAATGTTTAGTACTCCCAGCAGGAGCTGGACCCTCTTGAATTGTTAATATAATATCTTTTGATTTTTTTGTAACATTGCTAGGGGATGTAGCTCTATATGTAACTACCTGAAAAATTGTATAATTGGTATTTACAATATCTAATACACTAAATGTAAAAAATAACATTTCGCGGGGAGAACAGTATTAACTTAAACATAAACTTACAAACAGACTTGGGTATTTTTCAGAATTCAGAATTGAGTAATTTTTCATGATATTAAGAGATATTTTAAAAACCATACCCACAAAATAGCTACATCAACAAGAATGTGTTATGAATTTTCAGACTGACATAGTAATTATTACACAAATCACATAGACAAACCACAAATTGTATACTATACTAATTAATATTCAATGGTTACCTTGTTCGGAAGTAGTCATACCTTTCTTAAAAATACTTTCACAAGGTGTACTTGTACGTTGCTCTTATTCTCGATGTCAATAGTTAAAGGAATAACTTGTCCAGGACAATATCCTGTGACAGGTGCTCTTATATCCACGCATAGCGGTGGTGATGCACAACAAAAGCAACAAAATGTCTTCTCCATTTGAAAATGTAAAGGCTCCTAAAAATTTAATTTTATCATAGTTAAATGAAAGTAAAATTTATTAAATAACTATGTTGACTACTTAAGATAATATTTAGAATCAAGACTCATTGAAGGGTACACCTGTATGTCAAAAATTATAATAAACATTATAAATATACCTAAATTTATGAAACTGTTAGATACAATTTAGTAATTTCTCGGTACTTACTCTATAAGATGGATTAAGATTTAAATCCAAAGCATTAATAACAGTAAAAGCCATTTTTGTCTCTTGATCAAACTTCCATGGGCGGTCCAAGGTGACTTTTACTGTATATCGCACATATCCATACTCTCCTTCAAAGGATGACGGGAGAACAGGGGGTAAAGTACAAGTAAAATTATATATTTGTTTCCCAGATGGTATCTCAATTTCGTTTCCTGTGAAATTTATACAGCAAGTTTGAAATTGTTTTTGTTAGTTAGAAAACTTACTGTAAAAGGTAAATTCTCCTTGTCTTACCGGTGTTACTTCCCAAAAGATAGTAAGAAATTTGAAAGTACTCCTCCTTGCCTGTATGAAGAGTTTCTGATGACTGACTTTTACCATCAGTATCCTCTTCCTGTTTACTCTCACTCCACTCAGTATGTGCTTCACCTTTAATCTTTACGTGTATTCCTTAAAATAAACCAAAAATGACTATTCACTTCCGGCACATATAGATCAAATTTTTTATTTAAACTCGACGTGAGTCATGTAGGTACACACACATAACACAGTGATGGGATCTCACCTCTAACTTTTTTAGGACTATCGAACACATACTCTATTCTTCCATTTACAGTTTGGCCGGCATAGTATGTGTTCCACTGATTGTCTAAGTAGATGACAGCTTCTTTTAATCCCATTGTTATTAAAAAATTAATGCAGAAGAAAACACCGAGAGGATCACCGTAACCCAACACTTGTCACGTATAATTTAGAAGTGATTTTTACAATTAATTAGTATTTAGTGTATAGGGTACAGGGTTGCCAACTCCTACAAAATGTTCCCCCTAGGACCAACTTCAAATACCCCTAAATGTCGATCAAAAACCCCCTAAAGTTTTTGTTGTACACTTAGTTTGAGAGGTAATTAAAAATACGTTAAAGTAGTAAAAAATAGCTGTTGTATTTATTTGAGTACATTTTACATATTTATGTATGTTAATCAATGACCGAATAATATTATTGATATAGGTCTACTAGAATCTGATGATATCTGAAATTTCGAGGAATTGTTTTTGGTTTGGCTTCAAATTTCCTTTAAAAAGTGGTGAAAATGTCAAAAAAAACCTCTTCGATCGCAAGCAAGAAATATTGTTTTCAATGTTTATCAAAGAATACTTGATCAACAAGGTGCAGAACATACACAATCATCGATATTGAGCCATGTGCAAGTGTTGAATGGTTAGTAGGAATGACACGTCTTGATACTTTGGTTTATTGGATTTTCGTGTGTATTATATTATGTACTTATATAAACTTTGGTTTATTTCAGGGGTTTCTAATACTACCATAAGACGAATTGTTGCTGAAGGCAGATCTAACAGAGGCGTATTTAGTACGCCCTGTAAAAAGAGGAAAGGTGGCAAAAAAAAATAAACTTGGATAGATTTGATTTAGAATTGAAAAAAGAAACTAAATATCAGATAGATGAGATTTTAATTCACACGGCCACGAAGTCTTGAGGCTCCCACCATATCATTGTACGTTAAGCCCCATAGAATTAATCTGGAGACTAATGAAACAAAAACTTGCGCGTAAAAACGTCAATAGACCTGCAAGTGATATAAAAAATTTAACAGAGAAGAGATTTAAGAAGCTTACTCTCAAGTAGGGATCGATGAATGGCGAAAATATTGTGAACATGTAATAAAAATTGAAAATCAGTTCATAGAACAAGATCAGTCAATTGAGATGCAGGAGGATAGGTTTATATTAAATACTGCGTCTTCTTCTTCATATAAAGACTTTTTTATGGATGTGCAGTATTTGGAACCATTTTCAAGTTCTAATAGCCTATAATTAATTAATAAACTCATGAACAGAGTAATTGGAGTTTTCATCTAAATTTCAAACCCCACATTCGCCACAATAAAATTTTCAAAAATTATCCTTGATGATTGGATAAATTTTTATATTTGCATGTATCACACACAATCAGCCGCTATAAGGGAAATAAAGTATCAAAACGTTTTACTCCAATTTCCCCAGTATTTCTAGCGTCAATTTCTTTCTTCTCTTTTTGCCATCAGATCCTGGTAGACCTATAATAACAATGAGATGAAACGATTTTTATTTCTTAAGTATTCTTTCTTCTTTAACGGTTCTTGGCAGACAACTTTTTTGCGTTTTCGTCCATTTCTTTTCATACATTAGTTTTAAAGCTTTTTGTACTTTTTCTTTTTTTATCTGTTCTGTTACAGTTAAATGAGACAGAATTAAAATAAAAAACGAATTGCTTCAATGTCCTTTTTTCCTTCTAATACAATATTATTAAATGTCATGGGGATAAGCTTGTAATATTTCGTCGAAGGCATTGGCCTGAATATCGCGCTGCATTTTGCTGTTGCTGATATTTTTGAAATCGTACATATTAACGTTAAATGATTTGTATCATACGGTCAGAAGCAACAAATTTGACACATGAAATTATTATTTGTCGATTTTTAAGCTGTAGCCAGGCTTGGTGTTTATATTTGGTTTAGTTTGTTGATTCCGTTCGAAGCTTAATATAAATTGTATAGAATTGTGTGTTTGTAGAGAAAAAAAAATCTTGAATAAAGTACCCCCTGGACATCATGATTACCCTAAGTGTGGGGGGAAAACCCCCAAGTTGGCAACACTGATAGGGTATACTGTCTAGTCTTAATAATTAATGTAATTTGTGGTATTGACATTTGACGATTTAATCACGATTGTTGACATATTTTGGTTTTTCTTCTGAGATCTTTTAGTTTAAAATCGACAAATTGTCCACTGACAATTGACAAGTGGTGAAATTGTAAAAGTGTAATATTGATAATTGAAATCAATTCTTTAAAAAAAAAAATCATGATATTCACGTGATGAATAATATATAAATGAATAATTAATTGTAACCCGTTTAAATGCCAATATTAGTATTTATTTCATTAGATTTTTAAATAGTAGTAGTTTATACACTAATTAATCACGTTATACTGTTTGATGCTTATTATAATGAGCAGTGACTTGTTTTCAAGTCATTAAAGTGAACAAAAATCCAAGTTCATAATTTTCATCCAACTGTATATAATTGAAATTTAATTCATAAATATTTTAGTTTTTTAAGTGTTGCAGTCAGTAGCTTCCCTAAGGTGCTAAATAACTTTTAACTTTAGTGAAGTTTTAAATATTATAGGGAAGTAAGTACTTCAAAGCTGAATTTTGCTCATACCAAGAATCACAATGGATTCAAAAAGTGAAGCAGTTAAATTATCTGCTGAAGAACTTAAAAATAAGGGTAATGAATGTGTTAAAAATGAGAAATATATAGAAGCTGTCCTACATTACACACAAGCAATAAAAATGGATCCTAATAACTATGTGTTATACAGTAACAGATCATTTGCATTTCTCAAATTGGATCAACATTATCTGTCTCTACAAGATGCTAATGAAACCATAAAACTACAACCACACTGGGCAAAGGTTAGTATTTTAATAATATGGAAAGAAATGGAAAAAATAGTATTGCTATCTTTTATATATCAACATAATTCAATTGTCATGAAAACACCAATTTGTGCCTTGTAATAATTATATGTTATTTTCAATGATTGTTCTACATGGCTTAGGGTTACTTTCGTCGGGCTGAAGTTGAAGCTGCTAGTGGATTGTATGATGAGGCTATTATATCCTACACACGAGCCTTACAGCTTGAACCTCATAATACTAAGTTAATGGAGTTTATAAGAGATGTTACTGAACTACAGAAAAATAATTTAAAGGGTATGTTATTGTTTGTAGCATTATTATAGACACTATTTAGAATATAGGTAATTAGTCATTTGTTTTTAGGCAGTCAAAATGTGATCTGGATCTGTACAATAGTGGGACTTATTATAGGTATTGGAGTGGTCATATTGGATTATACATTGACAGCAAATCCAACATTGATAGTAAGTTCATTTAAAATATAATTGACTTAAAATAACTGTCTAATTAAACCTCTTGTTTATTTTCTCAGAATCCAATAAGTATGGTAGCCTTTTCAATAGCTCTTTCTGGAGTAGGATTTGCAATAGGAAAAACATCAACACTTATGACTGCTTGGAGTGCAGGAAAATCTTTGCAGCCACCACCTGATTTAGGTAAAAATATAACTTTCAAAACAGTAATTCTTAACAAATATGTATAAGTTGCATATTCTTGGTTCTAAGTATAACTGTTACTTTATTTTCAGCTACAAATGAACAATCTGAAAAAGAAAATGTACTGCCAGAGAAGAAAAAATATAGCAAGGCACAGGCCAGGCATAGGTTTAAACAGGGGAAACAACTTTAGTTATCATATTTATAGCAATATTGTAAAATCCGTCAACAACTGTGTTCTGGTGGTGGACTGTTTTGTTACCTATATACAATTCATATTATTCCATTTTCATGACAGCCAAGAAATTATTCTTTCCAATCATTACGTTTCTGTCCATTTGCAGATTGTACAAATTATAAAAAAAAAAATTATCTTTGTTTTGTTATTGTTGTAAGGGTTTTTAATTTTAAAATTTGCTCTTGAATGTTTCATTTTCTAAAAATGTTTTATTATTGATGTTATATATTTAAATGATTCCAAACCTTTTTTTTTATTTTAATCTTATTTGTAAAATTATTGAAAGACATGGAAAATTTAAGTATAATATCAAAGTGTAATTCAATAAAAAATGAGTTTGTTTTAAATAAAAAACATCCACTTATATGGGGAAATACTTTATTGAACCTAGTGTAAAATGTATTTCGAAAATTGCATATAACATTTTTTGCTTAAATTCTTGGTCGTGTACCTTACACTTAAAATAAGTCCAACACTATACACGCGAAACATAAAAATAATCTGTATAACAATATATTTTACAATGACTACAAGATGGTGTCAAAATTTACAATAAAATAAAGGTAATATTTACCATCACCTGATCATTGGCTGAAATTACCTATGATTAATTTCCAAATGTATACTTAATGCTAAAACAACTATTACATGTACATAAAATTAAAATGCCACAGACTGTGTGACTTGCCACTCTAAAAAGCATAAATTTATAAAAACATTAATACTATGTGGCTTAAGACAACATTAATATTACACAGTAATATGATGTATAATAGTGAAAAATTCAATTTATAGCCTTTCATATGATCTCTCCATTCACCGATAAGCAACTTAAGTTTCTGATGTACAGGTTTCTGGTAAATTTAAAAAACAAAGGAATGTATTTTTCTAAGGCCCATACTAAAAATTTTGCATATTAAATACAATATTCAATATACTTATTATGACATATGTACAAACATTGTTGTCAGTGTGATAAAAAATATTATACCATATTGGAAACCAATTCAATTTTTTTTAATAGATTGCATAATCAATACTTATATATATACTTAAGGTAGATTGTTTCAAGTTATGTGTACATAAGCGTTAAGGTTTAAGGCGTAAATTTCTTGTCAACATTGTTTATATGCAAGTTATAATATAATTATTTTTATATTATCACTTATTTGGCGTTGAAACTTTAATTAAATAACAGACATGTTAAGTATTTATTTCTAACCATTTAAAAATAATTTGAGACAATCCAACCTACTTAAAGTTCATATCCGAAACATCAAGCACAAAGCTTACCATGCACTTTTTGGAAATTCTATCCATCCATACTTTGTACCAGTTCCATGGCAAATAAAGACTCTATTATAATTACAAAATTAATAAATAACTAGTGAAGATTTATGGAAGATACTGACAAACTTTAAAAAAACATTACTAAAATTCAGGTTAATTTGAAATATCTTAATAACAGGCCTTAGAATTGAACCATGTACTGTAAGGTAACACTCACTTTAAAAAGTATTTATGAGCCGCACTTTGGTGTTTGAAATTGCCATAATTCTTACTGGAGATATGTCAATCGCTATCTGATATTGCTTTCTTTCTACGCTTTGCTTGCTTCGGTTTGACGATTTCTTCCTCCTGAAAAATAATTTATTTCATTTGGTCTAAGATCATTTGGCTTCGGATCTCGTACTAATTTATAAATTTTTCATAAAATTAGTGTATAATCAGAATCTAAATATTTTATAACAATTCAAATCAAAAAAATAAATAAATAAACTTGATGTGAAAAAAAGAAATTTTAAGCAGCACTGGGTCGTTTTGGAACTAAAGCACATGCATTCTGTGAATAGTTCGTAGTTAACTATAGAAGTTTTGGAATGGAAGAAATTATAAGTGCAAATTGTCAAAAAATAATTTACGTAAACGAATTGTCAAAACAAACGTAAAGATCTCAGATTTTTAGAACACAAAATTTGGTGTAATATTTAATTATGTATTTAGATCATCTTGAGATTTTTGTAACATAATATTTGATGCCGAAATAATACTAATTCACCTGTACAAGTCTTTATGGTTTTTGGTCTTTCTTTCTGCTGATCAAAGTCATACACATTATATTATATATATTATTACATAGTATTGTCTTTGATTAACATAACCTTTACACATTTAAAGAAAAAACTTTTTAACCGGATTAAAGTTATGTATTATTATAAATTTACAATTATTTCACAATTAGGTCACCGTGACCACGCACGCTGTAAAGCACGCGAAACGTCGGATAAATTTAAAATAATGTTAAATAATTGTAAATTTATAATAATACAAAACTTAATCCGGTTAAAAAGTTTTTTCTTTAAATATATTATTACATTTTTTTATCTAAGATATATAATATGTATATATAAATCGCGTACATAGAAAAATCTATTGCTACCCAGCCGGCATCAAACGTACGGCCTCAGTATTGATAGTTAGACTGGCCAAAATCTTATTTGATTTCCATATAGAATATTTTATGAACTATAAACCCTTCCATGACATGTAATTAAAAATGAAGTTACCTCGCTATCCTCATTTGATGAGTGTAAGTTCTGGCTGAGTGGCATTGAGTTGGAAGCCATCTTCCTTGCCCGCCTTAGCATTGGTAGTTCATCTTCCCATGCCAAAGAAAACAATTGCATATACTGTCTCTGAAATTATTTAGAAAAACATTGATTAAAACAGTAATTGTAGAATTGGTAAATAATACTAATACAAGTTAAGTGGTATAAAATATTCAGATAATTATTTACCAACTTCAAAAAACCCCGATTAAAGTACATGCCGTAAGCCGCAGAGGTCGTGGGTTCGAATCTCGGCGCCTCAATATTTTTAGCTGTGATAGTAATCTATATCCAATCACTTAAAAGTAATTTATGAAACAGAAATGTGTCATGCCCTATTGAAAGGCTTAATTTTTTTTAAAGCTGAGGAGTTTGTTTGGATGCGCTAGTCTCAGCAAATACCGGTTCGAATTGATAAATTATTTTTTGGTAGTTGGGTAGTAGAGGAAGGCTGTATAAACAAAATGGCTAGATGGAACTAACGCGGGTAAAGGGCAGGGCTAGTAATAATATACCTTTAAGTTATCGTTGCTATTTGATTGCGAGTGCTGTAACGCTTTCTGCAAACATTCAGTTTTGAAAATTGACATATCGTCTTGGTCTACACAGCATATTCTTATTTGCTCCAAGTGACCCAGAACCTAAAAAAAATATTTTATTAGGGGTTGTTATTAGTTTATATTTTGAGCATATTTTTGTGACAAATAATTAGTTATAGCAACTAATTAATTCTTTGCCTTTATCAGGCCGACGATGTTAAAGGGCCGTTATGTATGAAATTATTTCCGATTATAAAAAAACAATATGGTTACAACACTTCTTTGACTCGATCCTCATTTTTTAAAAACCGTTTACCACTAAATAATTCGGATATATGTTTGTTAATTATACTTACTGATTCAGCTGAAGGCGGCGCATTCGGTGGAATAGTGTGTTTACCAGGACGTTTTCTTTTATTCGGACTCGTGCCTGGATATCGTGTGCTTAAAAGTACCGCTAATAGATCTGCTACTTTTTCTTCATAATCCTGACACCAATACATGACAGTGGATACTACAAAAGTGTCTTCATCATCCACCGTCCGGCAGAACATTTGCCTGACGACCTCTTGCGTTGGCTTTTCTTGCTTTAACATTAATAAAACAGATGTCAGGGCCTCTGCATGCTCTCTATACGATAATTTCGGAATTATAGGAAGTACATCCTCGACGGATATTTCGTGTGCGGTAAGCAACTGCCATAGACAATATTGCTCAAATGTCTCCCAATTTAAGCTTGTTGTAAGCATTGTCGTAAAATCGTCAGTTTTGAACATCATCAAGTTCCCTTGTAACGTCAGACACACTAGTCTTTGCAATTGCCCCGCATCGATTGTAGAAACGATTATATGCAATAATTTGATATGATTTTGAACTTGATCTTTAAATTCCCTATATACATCCGATATTAACCATACTAATATGTTAGAATCACATTCTTGGCATTTCTCAAAATCATTAACTAAACATTCAACAATTTTAAGTTCTAAATTACTACAATATGTCTTATAAATGTCCATTTTAAACTTAACATTTCTCTTTTTGGCAGGATCACGTTCCGCGCGACGATCCTTTTCGTAACATATTTTTAAATATAATAGTAAGGAAAAGCCTACACTGGGAACGGAATTTTGTGCGTGTATTTCTTTAAATGTCTCTAAAATTAATTTGCGTTTAGAGTCATTCGAATTTGCAAGGAGCAGTTCGAACATGGAAAATATTGGCGAACTCAAAGTTAAATCAAGTTCAGATGGTGTGGGGTTTGCACTGATTTTAAGTGGGGGTAAATCTTGTAAAACTGCGGCAAATAAATCCGCAAGTGCTATTGGCGTAGGCATCGGAGGTGTGCACGCATTGAGAAGGGCTGTGGCAGCAGCCGCAGTTCTTTCATCCAAAAGTGTTTCTGCGAAGGGCCTCAAAGCTGATGGAAGAGCCGCGGCCAGCTCAGGTCGCTCTCGAGCACGAACCTCGGAGAGTGGCAAGTCATCGTCATCTGTATCTTCTGCAATAATTGGTGTCGTTTCATCTTCGTCATCCGAGAAGGCTGGTTCATCCGGACCTCCTCTAGGTAGGTCTTCAATACCTTCCTCTCTCAAACCTGACACCCCTTCTCCATTACTGCAGAACTCTTTGAAAGTATCCCTTACCGTTGTGCGTAATTCGCGATCTAATTTTGGTGAATCAAACAACGGCTGTAAGTTAGGAAGCACTCTTTTTTCAATGATTTGCTGTAAGGAATTGAATATGCCTTGTCGTACCTTATCAGAAAATGATGGATAAAAATTGGGTATTATACGACATAAGAAATCAAGTAATGTTGCAGTGACAGCTGGATGTGATCTCATGGAATGATGCATGACCAAGATTGCAGGCTCTATATTCATTATATTGTCTTTTTCAGGGTCATAGAAGAGCCAATCATAGAATAATGCCAATTTAGCATTAGATGCTGCTACATTTGATGTACAAGTTGTTAAAAGCCATCCAATGACTGCCCATCTTGGAATGATGTCAGAACAGAGTAATTCATTAGTAGGATGAATCACGCCCACAATGAAGCGAATCATATCACTGCGTAATGATTGAGATTCAGGGGTAGCAAGATATTGTCTTTGAAACCATTCTTGATATTTTTTATGGTGCCCAAATCGGACCTGTGATGTTAAAAAGACCAATTTACGTTCCATATCAGGAGTAAGCCTTGATTGTAAATACCTCCTGGATGTTCGTGTTTGTAATAACTGCAATACATTTGTAAATGTTGGTGATAAAGTTTTAGGGTTTAGAAGAATGTCTTGCCAAAGTTGATTAAATTCAGGAATCCTTGCAACATTTTGAAGTAAACGAACCAAATCTCTACCCAAACTTAGGATTTCATCAAAGTGTTCTCTTATCAATGAAATAACAAAGTTGACTTCCTTTAGTCTGAGAGTCATTAAATGTGGTACATTATGATCTTCTATTAATCTCAAATATGTATACACAACCATACATATTAATACTGGATATTTATCAAGCCATGATTTATTATCTATGTAAATGTCCAGCAGTGATTCCACTAAAAAAATATTTTTTGGTGTTATATCTCCACCAGAAGCATAACGCATTAAATTCCAACAAACACTATCTACTCCAGAAACAGAATTTCTTATCATTTCCTTTACAAGCCACAATAATTGATTTCGTGTCGTGTCCTGAAATTTTAAATATCTTTCTAGTATTAAATTTGACAAATTATTAAGAACACAGGTAAATCCATCTCTTGTAATAAGTGTTAGGTCTCTATAGCATTTTGTGGAATTCTGAGGTTCTGTAAGAATTGACATAAGCATTCCAAGTGATATATCTTCATGGTTTTTACAAACTGCATTGTTAAGTGCGTCGTGAGCTTCTTTTTCACTACAGTCGGCTACTAGCGATTGAAAATTTATGTAAGCTTTCTCGTACCTCTGAAATAAGTAAAAGATTGGAATAAAAGTAATTGTGTAGCAATATATAAAACTTAAACCGAGTTATTAGAACCAGGGAAAAAAAAATGTATTCGACTATAGAAAATTAAATATTCGCGCCACATTGCAGCGCCGCCACGGACTCGATACGAAAATAAAATCGACATGGCTGACCAAATGAATCTTTGTTGGTAGTAAAAGTAAAAAATACCTCTTCTATTTCATCTTTGTTTTCTATGGCAGTGCACACAAAAAGCTTAGGTGAATTAACTTTTATTTGTTCCATTTTTCTAATGACTTTATTTACGTAAAATAAATATTTTTCCAACTGCGCTAGCCTGCATGGCTAACGTAAGAAAAAAATATTTTAAAAGCAATACACTACCACAGTTAATAAATAACAATATGACATCATAGTACGGTAGTTTGACGTAAAAAATTCACAGATACAAATAATACCTAAACTATATACAGATAAAGATGATAAAACAATATATCACCGGCAGATTAATAAATATTTTTTATAGATTTGAATCTAATGCTACATGTATGTTATAATGTATTATATTAATTGACTATTTTCTGAAATTAATAGACAGAAGTCTATTTTTAGAGTTTCTGCTATCTATGGCTATTGTTTCCTTGCAAGTTTCATCTGTGTTTTCGAGTTACGCGTCCCAAAAACCCCCCCCGGGCCGCCCCCCCCCCCGAGAGCCGTGAGTCGACCCGACACCGCCATTTTGTGTTTTGTTATAGCCGTATAGCGTGTCCGGGCTGAGAGTCATTTGTGCTTTACTTTAAAAGATTATTTTGCGTTATTTCTGATTGTGGTGGATTATTTTATTTCTTCAGTTATCCGTGGATTGTGGAAAGGTAATACCTTGTTTTTATCAAATATTTCTTTAGTTATATTGCTGTATTACCGGTGTGCGTGTATGTTAGCATGTTTTCTTAGTATGTATTTACAAATATGTATATTGTCCGCTCGTAAGATACTTTGTTAATTTCATTCGTATAAGTTTCTATTTACCTAAAAATCTTCAGAATAAGGGATGGATGACAGCAGAGAAAAAGAACGGGACAGGTCAAGGCGCGGTGACAGACCCTCTAGATTCTCCGATGCAATTCGGGATAGATCCGGAGATCGGAATCATCACTCTGAAGGAAAGAGATTATTTGTTTCTAACATACCTTACGAGTTCCGATGGACAGAGTTAAAAGATTTGTTCAAAGACAAGGTAATTTAAGCTTTTTATTGTAATAAAATTCCTACTGCTTCAATGCAGGAAATGTTATGAACTTATGTTATTATATGATGTAAATATCTAGTTGATGTAAAATATATATATGTGAAGCTAGTAAAAGTAACCTATTATAACATTTATACCCTTTTTAAAGATTCTATTGATTACAATATAAATTATAAATTTATAGGTTGGAGATGTTGCTTATGTAGAATTATATCATGATGACAATGGAAAGCCAAAAGGTTGTGGTGTTGTTGAATTCAATACTACAGAAGCCATGAAAAAAGCATTATTTATAATGCATAGATATGAATTAAATGGGAGGAAACTTGTTTTAAAAGAAGAAACTGGTAAAAGTTTATTGTACTTTTCTGCTATAATTGTGTGGTCATTATGATGTGTGATATGTAATTTGGATAATTAGTTTCGGTTTCGTAACTAAATATACTTAAAGAAATATAAATACCAAATTTGTAATTTGTAATTATGGTCTGAATGTACATTTTTATCAATACAGATTTGAAATTTTTTTTTTGCATAAATCAAGGTCATTATTAAAAGACACGTAATACTTTGCAGGGAATGAACGAAGCCGCTCTAATAATCCACGATCGGGTGGTAGCAGTGGTGGAGGTGGCAGGAATAATCGTGAGGATAAAGAAGGGTGAGAAATATATACAAAATACTTTATATGTGGTCCCATATACCAAAGTCTATTTATTTGCCATGGTAATAAATTATTCCACTTTCTCTCACCATAAACATTGCTTTCTTGCAAAGTACAAGCTAACTTAACTTTCAACTTGGGACTGCATTTCATACATTTAATTTAAAAAAAGTGCTTGACTAGTAGTCATACATTTTCTCTGTTGTTTATTTTCTATTAAGAATACTAATATATATATAATGGTTTATTTTCAGATGGAACATGAATAAACCACGCCAACCGGAAAATTTCAACACATATGGGTTAAGTCTGCAATTCTTGGAGTCTATTAATGTCCAGCCTCCACTGATGAAAAAAGTTTTTGTTGCAAATGTATGTGAATTTAATATTTATATTCCAAATTAAAAATGCTCATATTATATGATCAGTAAATAGATATATTATTAAACATTTATTACTTCTATAGCTTGACTACAAAGCAGATAGACCAAAAATCAAGGAGATTTTCAAAATGGCTGGAAAAGTTCGTAATATTGACTTGGCAGTTGATAAAGATGGCAACAGCAGAGGCTTTGCAGTCATTGAATATGATCATCCTGTTGAAGCTGTTCAGGTATATAAGGTTTTATAAATTAATTACAATTTTTCTGTAACCCCTTTACACAGTAAAAAGTTGTACTATAGTATGAACAATTACTCTCTTTTTGCTACTGATACTGATATTGAATAACTAAAACAGCAACTTATTTTAATATAAAATTTTCAGGCTATTTCAATGTTTGACAAACAAATGTTGTATGATCGAAGAATGACAGTCCGTATGGACAGGGGTTCAGATAAAGTAGAAGTGAGGCTGCCTGAAGGTTTGAAGAATATTGGCCTAGGGCTTGGCCCTAACGGTGAACCTTTAAGGGATGTTGCAAGGAATCTACCACAGCCAACACCGACAAATAATTTAACAAATCTAACAAATGCAGGCACAAGTTTAGGGGCGAGTGTGTTGGGGGGTGTTCCAGCTGCCACGGTTGCCTTGAATGGTTTGGGGCAAAGTCTCAATGCAAATACTTTGGGAAACAACTCAGGTCTTGGCGGAGGCTTGAGCTTACAGGTAAATTTAAAGCGGCATATATTGATCCAATGGTATATTTGTAAAAAAAATATTGTATTGCATGGTAATTATCAAATGGGTACTCTTGTAAAAAGAGTCTACTAATTGAAGATTTATGTATGGATTAATCAGCAGGATAATATATTATCAGTAGTATTTAGTAATTATTTGTATGAATGTATTTAAATTTTCTTTCTAATTTTCAACAGAAGACATTTATTCTAATGTCTTTAACAAACCCCTTTTTTACACATATTAATGTGTGTGAAGTATTCTATACCTTGGTACTAATTTGACAAATTACTATTATATATGAATATTTCAATAAATCAATCTGTGGTGTTAAATTGTCTTTACTAAACTATAAAGTCATAAATAAAAACCTTTTGAGGAAATTTTATTGTAATGCGAATACAAGATAAACTATTTTATAGTAAGTTCATATTATATGGAGCTGGTATTGACAACAAAGCAAACCAATCAATATACTTAAGAAATTTCAACATTTCAGGGGTTAAATGTTAAATCAGACACTGTAAAATACTTTTTCTTTTAGTACTTACAAGCTTCAAGTATTTTTATTTAAGTTTTAATAAAATTTCGTGTATATTTTTAGTATAAGGTTTTTATACACTAGCTAGCATAACTTGATCTGAGGTATCTTATATTTTAACCTATTTAAAAAATCTATAATTGTATGTTTTTATTTCAGGCTCTCGGCTTAACAGGTCTTGGAGCACTTCAAAACCAGTTACTGCAGCAAGGTATTACAGCTAATGACCTTGTGAGCTCAGTGTTAACGCAAGCACAGGCGAATGTTGGCTCAAACAATTTGGGAATGGGTGGACCTGATCTCTCTGCAAATGTTATGGCCAACAATCCAATGTCAAATAATGTGCTTGGCCCAAATAATAACCTTGGCAGCGGTCCTCTGTCAGGTAAAATCATTGGTATTTAATTGCATCGTGACCACCCAGTGACTCTTTATAGCTAAAAGTTACCATTATGTGCTGTGAAGTACTGGAGAGTCGAAAATAATATTAACAATAACGCGTAATTCAATCCCCGACCCTCATCGTAACGTTTTATAAAAGGAACCCCCCCTTTCCAAAAACTGTTACGTAATACTTGAACGCTCCATTACCCACACATTTACACAAAATTATTACGTATATTATTATGTACTATTATTTTTGAGAGCTTTGCTTACTTTTGCTGACAAGAGGTGTGGGACTAGATAATTTAAATTAATCATATTGAGGTAAAATTATGACATGCTTAATGTGTGCCCTAACATTAAGCATGTCATAATTTTGCCACAATTCATAATCATGAAATGATTATGAAGCATGTCATAATCATTTCATTGTTAGCAAGGTTAATTTATCAATTATAGCAAATTAATAATAATTTCAATCTTAGAGTAAACATATGCATTACAATACAATATTTATTATTATTATTTGTATTAAACCAAGTCTTGGATTTTAAACGTATGGAAGTTATATGCAAAATGAAGTAAAAATAACTTTTTTAGTTTTAAATATTTGCAAAATGGCATAAAAAGGTTAATTTTTTATTAACATAAGGTTATAAAAAATAAGAAATTACCTTTTTGAGATACCATTGTATAGTCTTTAAATGTTTTTATGATAGTTAAAAATAATAAACATTTTTTTCCCAACTTTTAAAAGAGTATTATGTAGGCAGTTTATTTATTAATTAATCTGATGTATTTTTTTAAAGGAACCAATAGACAGATGCAACACAGTAATGTTTCCAGTGGCCAGGGTTATGGTAGAGAGAATCCTATACAAACATCTTCTCGAGACAAGCAATCTGACATGGTCATCATCAGCAATGTGAGCTAAAAGTTCCTAGTTTTTTTTTAATGGTTTAATGGACGCGTTTTCTGTCCAGAAATTGTATCTATGCTTTATTAACAATGCTTGGGAAAACACATTTCTAACTAATACTTCATTTAAAGCAGCAGGGTTTTTTTTTAAGTGAAACAATTATTTGTCGGTAAAACGAACCCAGGGGCTTGGGGTTACGCGTATAGAGTAACCCACCTTTGCCAAAAAGGTATTAAATATGCATGTGGTTTACGACAAAGCAAAACAGTTACAACATAACTGTACATATTTCTTTGTAAAATACGTCAACACCTAACGACAGACATTAACAAGCAGAAAATTTTAAATTTTTTATAATTTTTTTTGGATTGTATGGAAAAGTCTAGATTTCCTGGGGTCTTAGACAAGATGCCTTAACGGTAGTGTATGTAGTAAGTCGAAAACTTAATTTGTATGAAAATTTTCGACTATCTACTACTTTTACGATTACATACACTACTGATAAATCATCTTGTCTAAGCCCCCTGGGTGCATTATTTATTCTGGTAGCGTTTGAGGAGAATATCTAAGAATTCGCGATAGATACGTTATTTTAGGTAGTTTTTAAGTAAAATAGTTAACATAAAAGAATAATAATTTTTTGTTTAAAATCTTGTGCTCTGGAGGAATATTTACTATTTAGAAATAAATGGAAGTTTGTATAACGTTTTCGTAACCACAAATTTTATATGAAATCCTGACAAAAGTATAGCGGGGTATTAAGGGGTAATGCCTAAGTAATGATTTCATGTATATACATTAATTACATTGTAATACAAAGGTTTTATAAAATATTTTTTCAGCTTCCACCAACAGTAACTTGGCAGTTAATTCGTGAGAAATTCAGTGAATGTGGAGAAGTAAAGTTCGCGGAAATGACGTCATCAGATACAGCGATTGTACGATTCCATAAAGAGTGGGATGCCGAGAGAGCTGTCAGTATCCTTTTAAAATCATCACATTTAAGTAAATGTAACAAACAAAAATCGTCAACAAAGAATATTTATTCAGTCTCGACAATGAATCTTACCTTAAAGTAATTCTTGTCTATTGCTTGGTTATGAAAAATATTAACCATAATTTTTCCATAATAATTTCTGTGATAGATACAACTTTTTTTTTTCGACCAACAAAAATTCAATTTTTAAAACTCATTATAAAACGTGTCTGTTACCAGGGTACCATTCAATACTTTTCAGAAACCTTAGTCTACGTTTTTTAATAAGACCTTTTTTGCCCATCTTAAATTCTCCATAAATCCCAAATTATACATTCAAATAATTTTCCTAAGCAAATTGTACAGAAATGTTTGACAGAACCAGAATTGATGGAAGGACTATTGACGTGAGGTTCTTCTAATCGCTGTATAACAAGGTAAGCAAAATCTGTATAAATTGGGTGTATGTGTGTCAACCTTGTCTTGAATTTGGATTAGGGGTTGGAATTTGTCACCATAACGGAATAATGATATATAGGGCCATGTTAATCTGATGATCGAATTATAAAATGTAAGTTGTTCGAGTTAATAATTCGACGGCGTCTGGCTCTGCAGCTTTCGTATAAGTAGGGCTCGATTTGATTTGCCTCTATAATTTCTTGTGCATTACATATGTGAAAAAGTCACCAGTATAAATCTCGAGAGAGTCGTGAAAATATATTGGCTATACTTTTGTACCGTTGATTTTAAGTAGAGAAACAAGACCTGAAATTGATGATTTCCTGTGAAGGTTTAAACCTACAAGCGAATTATGCGTAGGTGTTTGACACTGTTTTGCAGTGATATAGTCATGATTTTTTATTATGGCCCTTAAAAGGTACCTTGTAAGATACCTCTAGCCTCAAAACACGAAATGATGGCGCGTTTAGCTTGATTGTGATTGGTTGAAAACGACGAATTCTTCAATGGAATATGTTTAAAATAAATGTCAATTTATTTTAAACGCGTTATATAAGTTGAGTGTATTTTTAAGTGCCAGCGTATAGGACTGGTGAATGCAGATATTTTTTATGACCCTATAGGTTGCCATTTGTTTAGGAGGCTCCAATAAATTAATGTTTTTGTATTTACAGGGTTGTCATATCGAAGTTGGTCTATCGGAAAACATCTTTCGTCGTCTTTGTCTGCTTGCCGCAGCTGAAGTTTTGACCTTTGGTTCAATTGACATTGATTCTTGAATTAATTGTATTTAAGTTTAGAGTAAGACTAGACCTTGATTGTTTTTCTTTTTCATTTTAATTTTTGTAAAACTAACTTTCTGCAAAGTGGTTATTACCTCATTTCGTTCATCTTCCTTTGTCGATTGTCGCTGACACTTAGGGAAGTTGACCTTCTCGGATACTAATAAAAAACCTTTTATTGACAATGTTTTAAGACAATGCTCAGGCGTATTGTAGTTTTATACGGATGGGTTGCACGGATGGAAATCGGCAATGTCATTCCGATGTTTGACATTTGGCAGATTGCATATTGGTTTGGTAAATTGTCAGTGTCGATTGATTCTGGTCATGTGGTCTAATTAATAATTCGGTGTTCGGGACTATACCCAAAGCTGGATAAAGTAGTAGCAATATTGTAAATTTTTTAGAAAATTTGTAGTTTAATTATAACGTCTATTAAAAGTGAAAACTTTGTTCTAAATCTTTTCTTACTATTATTATTGTGAAAATTATTTCTTCGTCGCAACACAACCGATTTACGTGGTACTTCCATGGAGACATCTGATTGAAAATTATATAAGAAAGTGTAGCAGCGTAATCGTAAACCTGAAAAACACGCAATTTCATTCCGTATAATATGTAATATAATGGTTTTAATTTAAACAGAGTTTCATACAATTGAGACATCTACACATTTTTATCGTAGCAAAAAATCTTTCACAAACTTCCACCCGTTTTCCTGTCCGTGTAAATTGCGAACGGCTCTCGCGCTTATGAATAAATAAATTTGAATATTTCTAGAATAAAATATGATATTGCTGTCAAATATCTTTGATATGTAGTCAATAAACGGATGCTTTTAAATGTTGGATTATTTTATTGAAGTTGTTACAGCCCTGTCATCTTATTGTATGGAGCTATTTTAATAACAATTACTTCTAAACACGTTCTGAATGTTTTTTTTGATAATGTACGACAAGGAGCAGCGGACACAAGGATGAGTGAGTAAAACGGAAAGGAATCACCACGGTCATATTGCATGTTTTCGGAGATTTTTATGTAAGAAGTTTTGCATTCGAGCTTGGAGTAAATTTTTGGATTGACTATGGTAATTAAGGCATCTAACAGATTGTGTACAGCGAAAATAAAGATGGATATGTTGCTTTCGAGTGTCGAGAGTCTTTAGATAATAGAATATACATCAATGGCGTCCTTGGTACATCCCAGACTTTACATCAACAACATATTGTTTTAGAACACTTCAGTCGTTCGTTTGACATCAATTTTTTATAATTAAAGAATACATGCAGATTTTATAAATAGTTTCAACATGAAATATGTTAAGGTGAGAAGACTCATGTTAAATCGTCAGCCAGCCTTTATTCGTTATGATGGATAAGGTGTGGAATAACAAAACTTGTAAGGAGCGCTACGCTTTGTCATAAGTCGTTTGAAGAAAACAACATAATTCCATACTTGACTTCCGAAGTACTAGTCTTGAAATCATTTTATATGGTAAGTGTCTTCAGACAAAGTTTTCCTTTCTATGGGTGAGGTTGCATGTTTTTACTTTTTATAACGGACAATATTCCAATAATGAGAGCTAAAAATGTATGACGATCAATGGGTTGAAAAATAATTGGACTGGATGAATTGGTTCGTGTTGCACATTGCTAATGCCCATGACTGTTCTTGTCTAAGAATTGGTTCTTGTTGGCAATTTTAATTGCGTGTTGGTTGTCAACAAAGCAATTGAAATTTTTCGGTATTTTATTCCAACGCTGACATTTGAGGAGAGTGAAACTTGTTAGTCTATTGCCGTCTTTTCTAAATGTTATAGCTACTTATAGCTAAATTTATTTTAAGACATTTAATGGTCTAAATGTGTTTGTAAGGTTACAGGAAAGAATCCAAAGGAAGTAAGAAAACAGGAATGTACCAAGCACTCAGAAGTACGAAGTGCTGAAGGACTGCAAGGTACATTAGCTTTCTTTATCTATTATCGTAAGGATGGTAAAAATTCATATACGGTAGCAAAATCTTTTTCCTATAATAATATAGTTATATTTATAAATGTAGAAGAATATTTCTATTAACGTTTTACGTTTCTGTTATACATCCAACCAAATTTTTCATTTTTAAAACATTTAATTTTTTAAAATAAGTTAAACATTAGATAAACAAGGATAAAACATAGAAAATAAATCTACTTGGGATTGCGAAATACCTAATGTTACTTTTTGTTTTGGTATAATTTATTTTTGTTTCAGGAGATATTGAAGAGTGAAAACAAAAATGGTTATTAATTTTGAAATAAATGACATTTGAAATTTTTACGGTTTTATTTTTTCTACCTCTTTTAAAATAAAAAGTAATTACATGTTTTAATAAACGTTACAAGTATTTCCATTAGAGATATTACAGAGCTACCGATACATAAGTTAATAACACCTCCACTGCGTACTGAAAAGATAAACAATTGAAGGAATAAAAATACGTAAATATTTTAAACAATAACTATTAAAAATTACTAAGTAATAAAATAAGTTTATATTAAATGGCTTTATAATTAAACTGTAATTAGACTGAATTACTTTTTAAGAAATGGGTATACTTAAAAGCTGTTAAAATCAGCTTAAAAGATGTTCTCTTTAATCTCAACCATAAACATTATAACTGTATTATTATTACTTTATATACTCGTGGTTTGCGAAGGCGTTTTTATAGACTTGTGTAGGGGTGTATCAAAGAACCGAATGACGTGTAAATATAAAGCCCAATTTTAATGTAGTACTGATGTCAGAAGCTTAGAACTAAATTTTAACTCAGCGCTGAACGTAAGAAACCGCCATGCAGTGAAATATTAACTTATTTATATAAACATATAGTATATTATTTATATTCTACAATCTACATCAATAGTTAAGTTTACTTACACAGAATGTCGTAAAAATTAATGATGATGTCTCTGACAACGCGCACTTTAGGAAACTTTGTTATACCAATGTCCAATGTCGTAAAAGATGTTTTGGTTGTAAAGTCTTCCCTGTCTTTTAGGTACTGATCTAATTCACAAGTATTTAGGCAGCCACAGTCTCGAGAACTGGATGGCAAACCATTTAAATTTATTGATTCCGTAGATAGAGTTAAAATTTCTCTTTTATAACGAATCAGACATTTCAATTGTCTTATATTACATATCGTCTCATGAGCTAAAAACAGAAAGAACATACTAAATTGCTACTAGGACAGAGCAAAAACATATCTGAAACAATAATTGTAGCAGCATGAATCGGATCCAATTTAAACGAATAAGCAGTGATTCACTAAATTTAAAGACCTTAACTATTTTCTGTCTCTCTTAAGTAGATACTAAAGGCGAAGAGCTTAACCGATATACCTAGCTACATTTTCTTTCGTCCCATTGCTAAATATATGGTATGGTATGTCTTCGTAAATACGAAAATAAAGTAAAATTTCTGTATTTTGATATGGAAAGTAGGATTAAGTCTACGATAACATTACAGGAACAGTGTAGGTTAATAACGTAGAAATCACGTACCTAAAGGCTTATAAAAATGTGGTATACAACCGCATAATGTTTTTATAACATTTATTCTGCATTCCAAAAGACAATGGCTGTAGGAGTAAATTGGATATCTGTCGTTGGTAGCTTCGTTGATAAACCTAAAATTATTGATGAATGTAATATATTAAAAAAAGTGTTTATTCATTTGACAACAATTCATTCTACTGTGTAAGATTTGGGAACCCTTTTAAGTAAAAAAATACCGATGGCAGGGTTCCCAGTTCTATAACATACTTAATTAAATTTCTTAATATTGTGCTTGTTTTTGATTTTTCAACTGTTTTGAACACGTCTGAGAGCACGAGTCAGTTTGTGGGTGCATATTAGTGATTAAGTGAGTAGGGCGAAGAATACTATATCTACCCATTTAAGTTTAACGTTTGGTTATATTTCATAAAAAAAATACAAAATTGTAATTTTCTATGCGAAGCAGAGCCTGACGAAGTGAGTGTACCTACCTACTTTTCACATTAAAAATAAAAAAAAGTTTTTCGAAGTAATCTCCGTTCCTCTCTACACATCGTCGCATTCGATGGAACCACTGACAAAAGCAGTGGGCCCATTCTTCCTTAGGCGTCTCTTCTATGGCATTTTCGTACACTTTCACCGCATC